GCCCGGAGCTCGGAGCCCGCAGCACGGAGCCCGGACCCGGCGCGGAAAGCGGCGCGGGGCGGGCAGGGCTGGAGCTCAAACTGCAGCTCGAACGGGAGCTCACGGGATGTTCTGCACCCGGGCTGGGTGGTGACCCCGGAGCCACGGAACCTTGGGGTGGCACGGGCAGACCCCGTCCCACCCAGAACCCCTCCTGCCAGCCCAACACTGGCTCCTCAGCACCTCTGCAGCAGATGGCAAGGGGGCAAAGGGGTTTCGTGCAGCACCAGCGCAACGTGCTGGGTGGTGGCAGCGCTTGGAATTGGGTAAATCCTGAAACCATCGACTGCATCGTTGGGCCGTGGTCTGGGCAAGGTGATCTTCTGTGATGACAGTTAGGAAGTATCCGAGTAACGACAGCATCCCTGGGTGGAGGGAGAGAGCCTTCCTTCTGCTAGGGGCCCCAGGAACAACCCCTCCGACGGCTGTCTGAAGGGGCTGATGTGCCAGGCAGCTTTTCTGTGGCAGAACAAGTGCCAACAGGCAGCTGAGGGCAGACCCTGGCTGTGCTGTGCCAGGAGATTTAGTGGTCCTCTGTGCATCCAAGAGGAGAAGCCAGCCTGCCACAGCCTCACTGCTGAATCATTAGCTTCCCTCCTCTGAGTCATTCTGCAGCCCTGTCTCACAGAGAGCTGAGACGAGCGGGGCTGAGGTGAGTAGTGGTTCCAGGCCAGTGCAGTGGGGTTAGAACACGGGTTGCAGGGTTATGTCTGCAGGACCAGTGAGCACCTGCTTGGACTAACCCAAGACCGCAGGGTTTTGACACAGAGCCAGGACCTGTGGCGGCAGCTGGGGCTGGTCCTTCTGTATTAACCCTCTGGGAGGTGACTGGTTATACTGAGGATGGGGAGTTACCTTCAGGAGATGGTGGAATGTGTTAGTGTAAACTCAAGTAAAACCTCACTGGGTGCAGGAGGCACGTCTGTTCCTCCCCAGCCTTGCTAAGGCATAGCTGGGGTTAAAGGGCACTCAGCCTTTCCCAAAGTTTTTTACCAAAGCTGCTAGAAAAAAAGTTATTTTGTTCTGGTTTATCTTGCTGTGACACCTGTGGGTTCCTGTGAGGACCAGCCCCTCTGCACTGAAAACTTTGCAGAAGCAAGTGCTGTACAGTTATTTTTGTTTGGATTTAATTCTTCCCCTGCAGTGTTTGCCAACTTTGACATGGCAGAACGACTCTGGGGCAGGAGAGCCCAAAAGGGAAATGGACTGGGGGCTTTGCAGGATAAGCCAATTTAAAATGCAGGGAAGGAAATTAAACAATGTAAAAAATTAATCACTTCTTAGAAAAATAAAAAAAAAGCCTGCCTTTTGTTCTTACAGGCTAATACACCTACTGCCGGGGAAGGGAGGGGAGGATGGTGAGCTTTAAAATGTGTTTAGACTGGCAGCATGTTAAAGCAGTTGTTTTTGCTCTCCGGGTTTGGTGTGAAATCCCCTGTGACAACAGCACAGAGCACTGCTGGTGTTTTCTGAGCTGTGTTGCTAACACGAGCAGAGCGATGGCCAAGAGCATCAGCGCTGGGAGTGCTTGGCTCCCGTGACAATCCAGCCCCAGCCCTTCCTGCCACAGTGGGACCGAGCCTGGAGGGGGCCTGAGCTCTGAGCAAACGAACCCGGTGCAGACCACTCCTTGGTGCTGAGCAGCTCAGCCCACAATCCAGGAGCTCAGCACCTCTGGAAAACACCATCCTCTCCCTTCTCAGAGCTTTCCTCCCATGGGATGTACAGTTCCAGGCTGCGTTGCACTGCACAGCAGGGAAACTGAGGCAGCCACCTTGCACTCAAGCACCCATGGTTTTGTTCTGTGCCAGCTGCAGACCCACAAGGAGACACCCAGCACAGCAAGCCCAGTGCTTTTTTATTTGTACACCGTGTTGCTCAGCAGTATTCACTTATACACGCAGAAGTGGTTATGAGTGTGCACAGTCTGAGTTACTGTATTTTCCACAGGCCAACAGCCGTTCTGAGGGTACTCTTGGACTTCTGCACAACATGTTGGTGGCTGGTCCTGTTTATCCCTTGCCTCTTTTGCAATGCCACAGCCCACATCTGGTTTCAAACAAATGCCTCTCTTAGGTATGGGCCTTGGGAAACTGCCATGAACACAGGCTTGGTGCCTGGGATGACAGCAGGGTGGCTGGAGGAACGGGAACACATGGTGATTTCTTGGGGTAGCTTACTAGGAAGTTCAGGCTGAGGTGAGTTTGCTTTTATGTGACCAGTTTTCCTAAAATTCCCTTTGTTTTGGAATGCTGTTTCTGCATCAGGCAGGACGGAGCTGCCAGTTCCGGAGCACTTGGCACACAGAATGCTGTGGGGGTGAACTACCTCCTGAAGAGCTCAGCTGTTCATGCTGGTGCTGGGCAGCAGGGAAGGAGGTGTTTAAAATTCAGCTGAGAGTGGATTTGTCGCTGGGGACTCCATTAGGGACAGCCAGTCTGTAACTGTCTGTAACAAACTGTAACTGTGGGCAGGAGGGAGCAGGACTCCAGGCGAGGACACGGGTGAGGGACAGAGGAGCAGGTCACGCTGTGAGAAGCCGGAGGATGTTCAGCCCCACGTAGTGAGAGAGGGAGAAATGCAAGATGCCCAGGGCTGAGGCTGCAAGGAGAATCCAGAGAACTCCACTGGTGAAGTATATCGGGGCAAGCCTAAGGGGAGAGAGAGAAGCCTGCTGTGACAGAGCAGTGACACTCTCACCCAGAAACAGTCCCTTCCTCCCTGGGGAAGGGGTGTGGAAAGGCAGCTCGGGCTGTCCCCTGTCCCCTGCGTGTGGTCCCGTGCCCAGCTCCCACCTCGAGGGAGCACTGGCCAGGGCTCGGGGCAGCTGCAGCCCTGCCCCGTGTCTGTGTCTCTGCCCCCAGCCCTGTGCCCACGCCCACACTATGCCCCGGGGAGAGCTCAGCAAGGCTGAGTCATGCAGGGACCCCGAAGGAGCCAGAGGGGGTCCTGAGCTCCCCTGAAGGACGTTGTGCTCCCAGATGGCAGCCCCGGGGGTGGGCAGGGGTGTTTACCTTTCGGAGGAGGATGCCCTGTATCCCATAAAGTAGCAGTAGCGGCCGCAGAGGTAGAGCAGACCCAAGGCTGCAGCCAGACCTGCGGTTGAGAGAGATCACAGCGACCATCTCCAAAGGCTTGGCAGAGCTGCTTTGAGCCAAGCAAGTAGCCCAAAGTGAAGGAATGGAGGCTTTGTGTCCTCTGGCTCTACCCTCCCATCAGAGACAGAATTACTGCCTAATTTATTGCTCGGAAGGTGAGCAGGACATGAGGACTGAGCCAGCACTCAGGGGAACAGATCCAGTAACAAAACAGCTAATGGGCTTTACTCACCTTGATGGAAGAAGAGTCCAGCCTGCCAGAGAAGTGCCAGGAAAATGGGAAAATACTCAGAGGAGTTCACCCTTGCAGGAAAGAGGAAGGTCATAAACAAGGGAAAGGAGGAAGATCTTCCTTTTTGCTGCCCCTAACAGCTTCCAGGGGCTGGAGGCTGTTGCTTTTTAAAGTTGATATCACCACAAAAAGCCTCCAGGCTTGCACCTTTCTCCACAGTTCCCATCCCACCTTTATTCACAGGAATCAAACAGTGGAAGGAACTAGGTCTCCAGGGTGCAAGAAATTAAGTAGAAAATGCCCAGGTCAGACTGTGCAGAGAAAGGCTCTGTCAACCACCCCCACTGACCCTTCCCAAGTGCTGCTGGAAAAGCCCCAAAGCTGCAAGGAAGGTCAGTCCCAGAGGGCTGCAGGCATGTTAATGATTAAATGCATTTTAAGCAGATAAGGCCAGAGGAGCTTGGGCTTCGCTGTAGGAATGAGAGTGAGCACTAAACTTTTTGGATTGTTTTTACACCACGCCTCGTCCTCTCAAAGATGAAGTAACGGGACCAAGAGATGCTGGATGAGGCTGGGTCTAGTTTGGCAAAGGAGCAGAGAAGAGGGTGGCTGAGGGGATCCTGCTCCTGCTGCCAGGTTGCTTTTTTTGCAATGCTTAGCTACAGCAAAAGTGGCAGCTTCCCTCTGCAGCCCTAGCACAGAAGTCACAGCAGAGATGCTGGATTGTGGCTATCCCCATCCCAGCCTCAGCTGAGATCTCTCTGGGAGCTTCTCCTTCCCAGCAAACCGGGCTCTGGAAGGCTTTGATACCACTTGGCTAAAACTAGCTTAAGACTCAGGCACCTACAGCTTAAACCACAACAGGTTTCTATCAGCAATGGCTGATGTGTTTAGGACTTAGGAGCCAACACAGTCTGAATACTGACTCTTAAGCCCATTAATTTAACCTTAAGAACTGCTAACTGCCAAATTGCAGTCCTAAGAAATAAACAGCAAAGCAAGGGAGGGGCAGTGCTGTTAGAGGTGAGATCTGGAAAGCATCTTGTAAGAGGAGTTTCTTACTGTGCTCGAAAGATCCTCTCAAATTCAGGTGGTCCTGAGATCTTTGGAGGAGAAATGCCAAACACCCTCCTAGCATAGATGACCTGGAGGAAGAAGTAGGCTGCAGCAAAAGAGAGAAAGGTAGCAGTGGTCAGTCCTCTGGCTGGGCACAGTGGGGCCAGCAGACAAACTGCCAGAGGTAAGGGCAAAAGTTCTGAGGTCTCCTTGTAACCCTGCACCCCTATAGAGCAGAAAAAGCTGGATAAAAATCCTAGATACATTTCAGACAAGGAAAAGGGGTGATCCAGTGCACCAGTGAAGCGAGGAGTATGCAGTCGCACAGCACTAGCAGATATCTGCTTTCTCTCTTGCATGATTAACAGGTTATCTACTATCTATAGAAATTATTACACAGTTCAAATGCACTTTGTTGATGCCAATTTTAAGGTTTTTTTCAGTCTTTAAGTTTTTTTCCCTCTAAATCCTGATAGCTGAGTGGGGAGGGAGGTGATGCCACAGGTGATCCGCTCAGACACTGAATCTGTCAGGCAGTGTGGAACCTGCTGTTCCACATGACCCCCCACAGCCCACTCACACCTCTCTGCAGTGCAGTGCTCTTTGTGTGCTAACATCTGCACAGACCCCAGGAACTGCTGTGAACCCATTTCTCAAAGAAAGAAATTCTATATGTTTGCAGAGGAGAAGATCTACCAAGAAATTCCTGAACTGAGTCGGTAGGGCTGACCAGAGGAAGGGCTTCCCAGGCATTTGTTGTCTTGAATATGTTTCAAAACCCAGACAAGATATCAGTGTCTGGAAAGCAGGGAACTGTCAGTGCAGCAGCAGAAATGAAATATGGAAGTGAAAGGAAAGAAGTGGAGTTATGGTAGCCTGATCCAGCAAGTATTTGGGCATGTGCATCCAATGGTCCCTACCTTGCTCAAAGACTCCCAGGACTGTCACGGCAGCCAGCAGATGAATCTGTTCCAACATACTGACTCTTCCAGACCCTAGAGAATCTGATTTCCTGATCAGGAGCTCCTCTGGCCAGGTTTAGTCCTTGCTGATGCAGCAGTCGGCAGTGGCAGCTGGCAGCATAGGTTTGCTCTGACTGAAGAGGGGAGATTTGTACGTGGTGCTTACAACCAGGAGGCGTCTGGCTTGCCCATTACCGTGTGTGCTGTGGAAATGTAAATCAGTGGAGAGAGACCTAATGGAGGATTTCCGTTCCCACCCTTCCTTTTCCAGGAATGAATTATGAGGAAGTGGAAAACTCTCATCTCTGACATGTTAGCAGAGAACTAACATGTATTAGAAAGGGGAGGACAAAACCCTCAACAGCCCAGCAATCCACTCTCCCTGGGGCAACTGTTCCAAAGCGGCTCCTAAGGAAGGCCAAGGCACATCCCTCTGGCTGGCGTTGCCTGTGAAACTGAGGTCTGGCAGCTGGGCTGTTCTGCACAGCTCCAGCATCAGGACACGCAGCGTTGGCAGCACGTACCCCTGAGTGCACAGCCCCTGGGAAGCACGTGGTGGGCACGGAGCCCAGTTACAGCCACAACACTGAGCAAGCATCAGATACAGCCCCTGAGTGAAAAACTCACTGCAACAGTAAGACAGGATGTGATTGTTGCGTGCAGTGGTGGATAAATTTGGTAAGAGATGAATCTTCTTGCATTCTAGCTGGTCCTCAGAGATTAGAGGGGCTAGGGGCGGGTGAATTTATCTCTTAATAGTTATCTCAGTTATGGTGTGACTGTAGGTCCAACACCAGATGCATGAACAGCCTGTCTGCTGTAGGTCTGGTTGCATGCAAAACAAGCAGCTGGGCACAGGAATAGCAAGGTTTATCTCACATGCATCATACAGAGATTCTTTCAGACTGCTGGTGATAAATGCACTAAGCTGCAGAATAGCTACAGAGCTGTAAAACATGATTGCAATCACAGTCGTAATGTCCCAGGGAAAACACTTGGCATAGCCAAGGCTGCAAGTCTTACCAACAGGCACCTCTTCTGGAGAGGGTGAGGAGAGCAAACCCCATCAATCCCTAGGTCAGAAATGCAGCTAACATTGATAGTTCACTATCTACTATTGTGCAAAGTGGGGGGTGGTGGGACTGTGGTCAAGCTATTGTTAGTCAGCCTTTCACTTGCACAAACATTGGTGACTTCTTCTATATCTTCAGCTAGGCACAGATAACTGCTTTGATAAGGGAGAGTGTTGGATGGATGGAGCCACATCTGCCCCACTCCACACTCCTCCTTGGTGCCATCACAACACAGACCACTGTATCTTCACCTGGCCTGCCTGCTCCAGCCACCACATGTTTATCAGCAGTGATAAGCTTTGCTGCTTTCAATTGTCTGTGCCTCCTGCTTCCACCAGTGATAAACTGTAAAAGGTACAGCTCTGTCTTGTGCAGTGATACTTAATTTGGGGATGGGTCCTGCAAATGACTGTCAAACATGGAGAGGGTTTCAGAGCTCGCCCTCATACTGGAAAGACTGGGAGCTGTGCATTGAAGGCTTCTGAGCAATCCTCAGCCAAATTAGTTCCCATTGTAAACAGCAGAGAGAGGTCTGTGTGGGTAAAAACCTGCAAAATTCATCAGGATATAGCAAAAGAAAAATGTTTTCACAGGTCAGGAGAGACCCACTTGGCAATCCCTAGCAGCCAAAGCTGTCATGGCCATGAGCTACTGAGACTGTTGGCTTTGTTTCCTTCCTCTCCCTTTATTCGAAGAATTTTCTCTTTGAAAAGCAAGTTAATACAAAGTGATCATTAAACATCACTATTCTAGACAATAAGATCATATTAAAGCCATTTACAGAAACTACACTGTATGCCTGGTGTCCTTGATAGACTTTCTAGGAAGCAGTAAGCTGGCTCTGGTTTTTCTGCCTCTCTATAAGGGATAAAGGCACCCAAAGAGGCTGTAACAGTATCCCAGCTTAGTATTTCTTCAAATATCAAACACAGACACCACCATTTTTCAATCACCAACTCTAAGATTAATTCTTTCATCTCAGAATTGATTGCTTTTCATTCCAGTGACTGTTCAGAAATATAAGGAACATTGTGTTTTGTTTTCTGCCATTTAGCTGTCAGAGAAATGACAGACTTTCCTGTGTCAGCTCAAAAAGGGCAGAGGTCCCACACTGCTTAATGATGTTTGATTTCCCTCTGCTCCTGTCTGATTACAGCCCAGGAGCAAAAGAAAATATAAAGCAAAACAACCCAGCAAAAATTATCTGAGGTCACACGTCTGTTGGATGAAAGTGTCAAATACGTGCAAGGAAGCCTGGCCCAGGAGGGGCTGTCAAGGCTGCTGTAGAGCACTCCTGCTCCCCAGACTGTCATTAGATGCAAAATACTTCTAGTATCATCTAGTGTAGTCTAAATATAATAAAGGCTAGTAGAAACATGAATGAATAAGCGAGCACAGATGTCGCTTCCCTCCTCCTCCCTCCCCCACAAGCATAATTTTTCAAGCTGTACCTCCTGAAGGGCACAATGTTTTTCTTGTCCCTGTTTGTCACAATCAGGACTCACTTTATTTTCCATCCTTACTTGGTGCTTGTAAAGAGCAGACACAAAGTACCCTCCTCCCAGCACCAAATGCCCTCCGATGATGGAGCTGTGACTGGTGGGCAGCCTCAGCATGCTGCAGACCACAGTGGCCACCAGCATCCCTGTGCAGGGGCTGCCACGGCAGGCTCTGGCTGGCTGATGCCTCCTCTTGCTGCCCTGGCCTCCACCACCTTCCTGCCCTTTGCCCCCGAGCTGACAGCTGGTGACTCGGATCCAGAAAACTCTTTGGGGTGCAAGCAGAGGGCGATGTGCTTGCAGGCAGCTCGGGGAGCCCGGATGGCTGCAGAGCCACCACGTACCTGGGCTCCACGGGAGGAGAGGGGCAGCAGGGGTGGGGTGGTGGCCACCCAGCGTCACCGCTGCCACCACCCGTCTGCAGTCACGCTGGAGTGAGCATGCTGCAAAACCTCTCCCTCCAAGGCTAACAGCCTGATTTCCTCCTGAGCAAAGCCACGCTCTGCAGTGCCAGGGTCAGCCCAGGATAGGTTTGCTGAGCAGGAGCTAACGAAGCTCTGTCCCCTCTCCCACACCCCGGCACGTGCTCTGCTCTGCAGGTCACCCGTGTGAAGCTGGCCCTGCATCACGGGGCAGCTGGACACGGCACGATCCAAACTCCTCACACCCCACCTCAGTCGTCACTAGAGGCATTTCTCTGTGCCCACGGTTGCTTCTGCCACCTCTTCCTGCAGCCATTAATCCTTTCTCCCTCCTAATTACCACCGCAGGGCTGTGCGGGGATTGCAGCAGCGATGGGGATTAAAAATCATCTTGGGAAAAAAACAGAAGCAACACAAAAGGCTTGGAGGAGTTTTAAGCAGCCACTGGATTTGCAGTATCTGTTACTCCCCAGGAGCAGCGGGGCAAGGAGAAGCCAGCGACACTGAGTCCAGCAACATTACAGGCTATAAAAACCTATTTCATGAGACTACAATGGGCCAAGAGCTCTCTGCTAGTGGAAGAGGGAACATTTTGCAGCTGAGCAACTTACCCTTCAGCCGAGAAGCATGGAGGTGCCTTGTCCTTCCAATTGTCTTGTAAAAACATAGAAGAATTCTCTAATCTAGTTGGAGCTTGTGCTTCCTTTCCCTTCAAATTCTTTTCCTGCCACGGAGCACATCGAAACCCGTGACCATGGAACTGCTTGTGAGAACAGTTAGTGCCTTTCTAACAGCCACAAATAAATGAGAGGGGGTTTCTTTCAGAAGAATTAAAAGCCACACAGAGAAAAAAGAGTTCTTCTAGTTCAATAGAACAAAAGAGAGTTCAGCCTTGAGAACCTCAGTCTGCTCAAGGAACAGCTCCTTCAGGCTGGGCTGGTGGGGCCAGGGACACACCACTGTGACCTCCCACGCCTATGGAGACTTCTGTTAACATAAACCAACCTCTGCTCTGATTTTTTTTTTTGAATTCTTGGATTTTGCGGCCATAAGAAGAAGGGTGGACTGAAAACATGGAATGAATTAATGAATTCTTTGTTCCCTACAAAGGCACGGTTGTCACATGTGGCTGTTCCTAGGAACTGGGGACAGCTGCAGGCAATTTCTGCTCTGTGGTTCCCACCAGTGCTCCCAGCAAGACACAAGCTGGGCCAGACTTCCTGAGCATTTTGAACTATGTCCTGGATTCTGCATTTTGTAATGACCACAAAAATTTTGCGTGAAAAGAATTATCATGTCGTTGTAAAATGTGAATCTGCACAGAAGCTCCTTCTTTCAGAAAGTAAAATGACAGGTGGTTGGGTTTGCCAGCAAAGTCCAGGATGGCATTGCATGAAGCATCCCTCAGAGTACAAACTCAGGATGTATTGGAGGTGTGCATTAGCCTGTTCATCTAGATGGATTTCAGAGGGATATTACTGAGATTTCTGTAACTGTGGTGTGTCAAAGAGATCACTTAAATCTTCTCAGTGATAGAACTGTAGAATGGTTTGGGTTGGAAGTGACCCTAAAGGTCGTCCAGTTTCACCCCCCCTTGCCATGGGCAGGGACACCTCCCACTAGACCAGGTTGCTCAAAGCCCCCTCCAGCCTGGTCTTGAACACGTCCAGGGATGGAGCATCCACAGCTTCCCTGGGCAACCTGTGCCAGTGTCTCCCCACCCTCACAGTGAAGAACTTCTTCCTCACATTTAATTTAAATCTACCCTCTTTCAGTTTAAAGCCATTAACCTTTTTCCTATTACTACATGCCCTTGTGAAAAGTCCCTCCCCAGCTTTCTTGTAGGCTCTCTTTAAGAACTGGAAGGCTGCAATAACACATCCCTGAAGCCTTCTCTTTTTCCAGGCTGAACAACCCCAACTCTTTCAGCCTGGCTTCACAGCAAATGTGTTCCAGCCCCCTTGATCATCTTCGTGGCCCTCCTCTGGACTCACTCCAATAGATTCAAGACCTTCTGATTAG